ACTATAAGGCGCTTGCGGCGTTAAAGGGAGGCGCGCCAAAACGTAAACCTCTGGACTCTATGGCTATCTATTCCAATATTGGCAATGTCTGGAGGAACCTGGAGGAAAACGGCTATGCCCTTGAAAATTTTGAATTGGCCCGGAAGATAGCCGTCCGTAAAAAAGACACCATTAATATCGGCCTGACCTGTCAGGGCATTGGCAGTATCTATGATAAGCAGCGGCAATGGGCAATGGCTGAATCGTACTACCAACAGGCACTAGACATATTCAGCCGGAAAGCAATGAGGGAAGAAGAGGTGATTACAACGACCAGCCTTGCCATGCTGTCTGAAAGCAAAGGGGAATATGCAAAGGCGCTGGATTACCTGGACAAAGCCATGAAACTGACAGACACGGTTGAAATGACGGCACTCACTATTCTGGCACCTCATATGACCTTAGGCTCCGTTTACCTGAACCTGAAGGAATACCATAAAGCGAAACCGATATTACTGGATGCGCTGGCCAAAGCCAAGGCGATGGGCAACCGTGATCTGTTGCAATCGTTAGAAAAAAAAGTGGGAGATATGTATGCAGGATCCGGCAGTTACCAGGAAGCATATGAGCATCTGTCCCGGCATACAATGATCAAGGATTCTCTTTTAATGCAGGAAAAAGCACAGGCCCTGGAGGCGCTGATCAACTCCCGGATTGCCGTAAAAGACAAAGCCATGCTGGCCCAGCAATTGCATATCACCAGGCAGAAAGGCCAGTTGCAGCAAAAGAATTTCTGGATCGGCGGTACCGTATTGGGAGCGTTACTGCTGCTATTCGTTAGTGTTGCCGTTGTACGTAACTACCGGCAGCAACAAACCATTCAGCAGGCAGTCATTCGCCAGATGCAGCAAAGGCAGGAGATCAACCAGCTAAAGGCACAGATGCGCGGAGAAGAACAGGAACGGCAGCGGATTGCTCATGACTTGCACGATAGCATCGCCAGCCAGTTATGGGCCATCAAGCTCAACGTAGACAATATGCGCCAATCGGGCGGTACAGACGTACAAGACAAAAACATGGGCATCCTGTTTCAACAGCTTACCGATGCCGCCCGGGATGTGCGTAATACCGCTCACAACCTCATGCCTGACCTATTACTAGAAGACGGCCTGGCCGCTGCCCTGGCCTCGGTATGCAACAAGACGGGTAAGACGGTACCGCTGGAGGTAGACTTTCAGGAATATGGTATCGTGCCCCGGCTGGATAAAGAGATTGAACGCTCTATTTACAGGATGGTGCAGGAGCTGATCCAGAATGTATTAAAACACGCCGTAAATGCGACTCAGCTGTTGGTACAACTCAGCTGCGTGGATGCGTTGCTGAATATAACGGTAGAAGACAATGGTACCGGCTTTAAAGAAGGATATAAAGAAGGCATAGGCCTGCAGCAGATCAGGAGAAGGGTAATAACACTGAAAGGCCACTTCGACCTGCAAAGCAGGCCGGGACAGGGTTCTACGGCCTACCTTGAATTTGATCTCCAACACCTGCTTTGAAAACCAGACAAATAATAAGTAACTAAAAAGTACCCCCGCATGATTAAAGTAGCGATCACTGATGATCATCCACTTGTTATCGATGGACTCTTAAATGCATTCCGCGATGTAGCAGATATCCGCATAACAGGCACCTATCGCAACGGCACAGATTTATTCAATGGACTTCCGTTGGAGCAGCCGGATGTATTGCTGCTCGATCTTCAGTTGCCGGATCGTAATGGTGCAGAACTGGTACCCATCCTGCTGCAACAATATCCATCTCTGCATATCCTTATCTTGAGCAGTATCGAATCATCACCCTATATCAAGGAAATGATGCAAAAAGGTTGCAAAGGATATTTGCTGAAAAGCAATACCGTTAAATCTACATTGGTGACCGCGATTCATGAAGTCTGTAAAGGAGGTATCTATCTCGATCCGGGGTTAAAAGAACAGCTATTGCAGGAGATGCTGGCAGCCAAACGAAAATCAGATAAGCTCAATCCGAAGATCACCCAACGGGAGCGCGAGGTGCTCAACCTGATCGCTGGGGAGTTAAGCAACCAGGAAATTGCCGACCGGCTCTTCATCAGTCTGCGTACCGTTGAAACACACCGCTATAATTTGCTGCAGAAGCTCGATGTCAAAAATACAGCCGGCTTACTGAGGATTGCCCGCCAGATGGGCATCGGATAAGGACAATCGTTCTATCGTTTCGCTGATTTAAAAGCGACTGACATTGATATAGATACACACGACAAAACACGCATTTCTATAAAGTTACTGGCAGTTTCAGGGGTAAAATCTATCTTAGTTGCTCAAAATCAAAGTTTGTGAAACATCGTTTGTCTCTCGCATGGAGTTTGTTGGCAGGAAGCATGGTATTTTTTACGGCATGTAGTGATCCGCAGAATAAGAATCACGGTCCGATCTTATTAGGCGACTCGTCTACGATCGTTACAGAAACGGATCCCGTCTATCTGCAGGATATGGTGCAGGATCTGCGGCCATCCATCGAAAAAGAAGTGGAAGAGGAAACACAACCTGTTGCTACTACTACCACAACAGATACCGCCAAACCAGCAGCCGCTAAACCGGAAGAGAAACCGGCACCTGCCCAGCCTACCGGGAACGGCCTTACCATTGGCTTTAAAGAGGTAACTATTTTCATACCCAATATCACCACACGCAACTACAATAAACAAGACCT